TAATGTAATGTAAATTTTGGATTGGTATCAAATGCAAGAATACAAGAATATACATAGCAAGAACCTTTTCAGCGGATTTTATTCATCCAATTCTCAAGTACCAACTTTAGCTTCAAGTCCTCCATCTGGTTCACCAATGGACATTGAAATTGAAATGGGTAATAGTAATTTAAACAATCAAGCTTCTGGGTTATCATTTCCAACTTTTCATACGCAGATGCTGTTTAACCCTCAAAATTTTGAGTTAGGAACTTTATTCTCTATTGATAATAGTTCAACAGAAGTGACATCGAGTAATATGCCTAAATATGGCAGGTCATCAAGTTATCGCGGGAAAAATCGAAAACCTGGTTACAAGATGGGAGGTGGTAATGAAAGTCGTAATTTAATGTCAATTCCAAAAACAGGGTCTTTTGAGGGGTCAGATTCCAGTAGGATGATGATACCCGCGGAGAGTACATTTGATTTTCAAATAGAAAAACCAAATATCCCTTCCATCCAGCCTACACCGACATCATCAATATTTAAATTTAATCAAGAGATTCCTAGTGTACCCACTGAACCCATGTTTACAACTAATGGGACAACTTCAAACACTTTCAATTTTCAATCGAGCTTTTCATCACAATCTTCATCTACACCGGTGACCTTTGGTAATAGCTTTGGATTAAACCTCAATCAGCCAGAGACACCAACAACTTTTAGCACAGTTAATAATAGTTCTAATAGTTTTATGAGTATAAACGGTAGTGGTCAACTTTTCCAGAACGGAACGAACATTAAAAGTTCACAGCCAAGTAATATTGATGGTAGAGAAATAAGAAAAATGCGTAAACCTCGAGTGAAATAAATAATCTACATTGACAGATTATATAATAATTATAGTCGATAAAGTCTGAACATTTAATGTACTTTATATTTGGGTCGGGTTTATGGCGTATTTCTATTATTGAGATTATATAAAGGATTGAAATGATAATATAGATGTGTGTATACGAATGAATTTAAAGTATGTGTTATTGATTTTATTGGTGCACTGGATTATATATATATATAGTGACAAATTAATGGCATAGATTGATGATTTTAAAGTTACATAGTAAAAGGTTCTTGCTATGTATATTCTTGTATTCTTGCATTTGATACCAATCCAAAATTTACATTACATTAATAAAAAACAAACATTTTACACGATAATTTTATCGTTATGTTAATAAAAGAATAGAAGAATTTAGTAATTCATTTTTATATAAAAAATTCTGTAATACACTAGTGATTGCAAATTTGCTTAATAATATCATATATAATATATAGAACCGCATTAATGTACTAAATTATTTTCTAAAATTTGAAACTTACTATGGTATATAGTCTAATATATAGCAGTTAATATTTAAAATATTTTAACGTTAGCAAGAACTCGTAGTCTTTATAATAAATTGTTATTTTTTATATTAGAATTGATTTCTTTTTTGTTAAAAACGTTATAAAGGAATTATTTATGACGATTTATATAAAAATTAATCCTTTTTTGAAAAAATTATTTTGAGTCTTGCATAGTACTCGGCATAAAATTTGACAGTCAAATACTTGTTAATACTTATGTTTAAATCGGATGTCAAACGATTGCAGATTAACCAAAGCTAA